CAAGACACCTACACCATCCTGATTATCTGCATGAAAGGTAAGGGAGGGAGAGAATTGCAGTGTAGGACTCATCATATGATATGGCATATGTTATCATAGCACATGGTTTTCCCATTAACATTCCATTTTTGAGACTGGATGATTTTCCTCCTGGCATAATAAATCCCCTCCTGAAACTAGTCCTAAAGCTACTCAACTTAGTATCCTCATCTTTATAAGAAATATCCAATAGTTAACAGGTAAGTACTAGGAATAAGTAATCTGAAGGTTCATACTCTCTTAGAAAGGAGTGTACCTTTTGCTTCCCCCACACCTCCTACATTCACATCCAGACCCTGTTCACGCTGCTCACTCGCACAGGAGAATCTGTGTGCCTTCTCAACAATCCCACTGGTATTCCAAGTGGGTAAAAAGTGTCACCTCATTAAAAACCCTCTAGCAGTGGATGGTTTCTGTGTGTGCAATGGAGCCTAATGTCAAGGCTCATTATTAAAGGATAGAATTTCGCATGGTTTAAAAAAAAAAAAAATCAAGCTAATTTTATTTCCAGATAATCTCAGTAAAAGAGGAAGACCTAGGTTGGAATTCCCTCTACACATTGCAGATATTGTTATAGTATGTACAACAATTATTTCAATCTGGAGAAGTGAGAAGTGGTTTACAGGACTGAATTCTGCTGCTGGATTCCAGCCTCTCCTGCCAACCTCTTTCTGCCTTACATTTCTTTTTCATTCATTGAGGCTCTGTTATTTCTCTCCTCCATTGAAGAACAAAGCTGTTTCCTTCCACTATATCTGCCTTCTCACACACCAGTAGAATTCTTACAGGAAGAGGTTTCTGATAAGAAATCAATTTAGATTCCATCCACAGAAGACGAGGCAAACTTCAGAGTAAATCCGGGACACTGAGTCTAACTCTATTTATAGACACTGAAGTCAGACTGAACACAAGGTCAATTTCTCTTTCAGGCTGCAAGGAACCTCTCAAATGTGCTGAACTTAATGAAGTTGCAGCAACACTACAACAATAAGGATGTTGCCCATCATTCACAGTCCTGATAGCTTCTTCCAAATAATTTGCTATACATGTGTCTTCCAAATGCATTTTTTTTTTAACTTGCAAGGACAACAGGAGTTGTATTACCAGCCAGAGGAGGTAATGCAGATAAATCCTTATAGGTCACACTGAAAATGTAATCTGATATGTACTTCTGAAGGCTGGAAAGATACAGCTTCTTTCCTTGAGAATCTTTTCTGAAGTCCTCACTCATGCACAAGGTTCAGCGTTATCAAGATTTGCTTTCACAAAGAGGGCAATATCAAGGTAAATAAATATTCTAAATCTTCTTCTTTATTCTATACCAGTGTAAAAAACCATCAAAATTGTCAGAAATTACATTGACACCTACATTAAAACCCTTCTGCATTAACAAAACGGTGGTACCAGGGCCACACAGCAAGCTAGAATAAGATCATCCACATATAATAATAATATCAGTAAGACAAGGAACATGTTCCCAGTTCTTTCTTTACGTGTGTTGATTCAATAGTGTCAGACACATTTGAATGACTGCAGAAGGCACATATTAAATATGTGAAGCCAATTTAGTGTGTTACAATACAACTATCCTGAAGAAGGGATCACACTTGTTTCAGTCTTCCTTAGAAAGCTAACAAAACACATTTCATGTCAAAGTTTAAAAAAGCATACTCACTCCTATAATTATTTATAGCAAAAGTTACAAACAAGAAAGTGCTATTAAACACCTGGCTGACTAAGCAGTGTTGGCAGATCAAACACTGCAAAAATACAGTATGTGCACATTTTGAGTAGCACTGCTGTGCTTGGTTTCCTAAGCTAAGGGACACTGCATTTCCCTATGTCCCCTTTAGTTATACTGAGATATAGGTAGTGAAAACCAAAAGCTTTGTGGAATTTGTTGAGCCTTTTTTTGGAAGCTTAAGAAATATAAAAAATACATTTATTATGGAGAAATATATTTATTATGGAGAAATATATTTATTATGGAGAAAAGAGAAACCATGTTTTAAATCTTCCACTATAAGCTAGTATGATTTTTGTTCGCACTCCAGTCCAGCAGGGTAGGGGCTGAAAGACAAGTGATCTCTAGTCTGACAGACCATAGAACAAACCACTTCTACCAGTTCTTACAACAATCACTGGCCAGCCTCTTTCTACCAGTGGGAAAAACGAGGTGACTTGACCTTGTCTAGGGTTACGGGGCAGAATGAAGAAGAGAATCCCACCCTCTCTGGACAGACTTTTCCAAAAGTACTTCCAATATTTTTTTTATTTCTGTGTAGTACTGAAGAAACAAGGGGCCACTCCCATAGATCTTTCAGCCACTGCTTAGGCGCATGTGGGCAGGGGAAGTGTACTGGGTCAAGGAGCAGACTGTAGAAGTTTTCAATCTCATGGTACCCATCTACAGGTTCAAAAGACACCAAGGCCATAATTCTTTAATTAGTTTCTACTATTGGACATCTACTGTGTCTGTTCTACTATTGGACATCTACTGTCCATTTCTACTAATAGACATCTACAGGATGTCCATTCAAAATACAATTTTTCTTTTTTTTTTTGTTATTTAGTCTTTCTTTAAAGTTGTTTCTGGAAATGCCCAATCATATGATCCCGTTTAAGTTTTTGCCAATAGTGTCTATTGCAGCAAATGGTTGAATTGTTGTATTTTCTTGATTTCCTGAGTTGACACAGGCTAAATGTTACCTCAAATTAAAGCATTTGAATTGTTGCTCACATTCAGACAGAGCTAAACCACAACTCATCTTTCTTTCCTATAGTGTACTTCATATTTTTTGGGCATCTGTGACCACCAAGGAGCCTGGATTACAGCAGACCATAATACTCCACTCCATGGTTATAATTAGGCGTCACATCCATTGTAATCCTATGGACGTCATCATGTGTTACCAGCATCTGTTGACAGATTTCATACCAGGCATATCACTGAAATGGCAAGTCTGGAGAGGGCAGCCCACAATAGAAACAATGGCATTTATTTTTGGTTTGATCCAAGACTGTCTAATAGAAAATATATGCTGCCAACTGCCAGGGCTCCACTGAGATCATTTTTCAATATTATATTACCAGTTAGAACAAAGATCTGTGCCCATGTACCTGCAACCTTCTCCTAATAAATAAGGAATTAAGAAAGCGCTTTCTGCCACTGTCTTAGCATGAATTAGGAAAGATAGAAGCCTTAAAATTTTACAAGGTTTAACCAACCCTTAATCATGCAAGTACTTTTCATGTAATAATAATTCAGACTCCTTTCCAAGACAAGGAGTAAGGATCTCCACTCCTAAATTTTATTTAAATATGTTATCATGTTAATATTAAAACTAAACCCAGGGAACTGGCAACATAAAGTTGGAAGTAAAGCAGAGTCTGCTTTAATTTATCAATGTTGAAATCTGACTTTCTGCTGAAGTGCTGTCTGTTCAGGGAATGGAAACATAAAATTTTCACTGTAGTATAGCTACTCCCTGATTTTCTTTAAAAGTCAAGAGACTTACTGTAAACATAAAAACGTCTTCCTAATCCAAGTCCTCTTTACTTTTGATCATTTGTCTGCATTGAAGGAAAACTGCATTAGAGTGCTGACTATCTAGTAATCTGTCCAATTTTTTTTGAAAACAGCATTCTTTGAAATACTGGACAATTGAATCCTAATCAGATGTAGCCACAACCTCTTACAGCTGCACAGTTTCAAATCACTAAAGCACTTAAGCACTAAGATAATTTCCATTCTCCTTATAAAACAGAAAAACATAGTTGACCATGAGTGTCAAATTAAAACTATACATTTATAGTATAGCTTTTACAGAAGCTGTGACTGCAACAGTGGGCAAGAGTCTCTCATAAGATCTTAACTGGCACCTTCTACTTAGGTTTTGAAGTGAGCTGCTCAGCTATGCAGAATACATATTCAACCTTATTGTCCAGAGCACTGTCTTTCTCTCCCTCCCTTTTTTTTCCATTCTTGTAACCAGCAGATAACCTTTTAATCCCAGATCTGTCAGATGTGACTTCAGCATCACCTTTCAAATTAGAATGTAACAAATCCTCTACAATATTTCATCTCTCTTTTCCATGTGCTGTTTAAAACTTAGTGTTCTGAAATTAGAAGTGCAAATATTACTAAAGTATCCAACTACTGACAAGACTGATGTGGGATCATAATTTCTGCCTATGTTCAGAAAAAGAGCATGGGCAGTACTTGGTGGCTCAATAGTTTTCTTACACCTAAAAGGCAAGAAGCATTTCCTACACAGCAGTATATTCCAATATATTTACAGACCTGTTTTTTTCCCAGACAGTGAACTGGCATGTGGGAACCTAATCGTGAAATACAGTTTTCCAAATATAGCCTGGATGTATTTCTAGGCAATACTTTCCTTGTCAGATCATTCAGTTGGAATGAAGAGTATATTCTACTAAGAGCTGACTTGCAAGATCGCAACTTCAAAAGTGATTTCTCAGTCTGCTCTCAGAAATATTGCAAAGTCCTGTTGCACACCAATTTTGAACCATCTCATTCATCTCCCTGTTTATAATTGCAATTTACTCTTTTTCAAAATCCACCAGGCGCACACATCAATTCAGAGTCTGCTTTCTGACAGGAGGACCTAGGAAGTGAAGTTAAAAATTACTGAAACATTAATACATAAATCTAGCGATACTGACAGGATATTTCCAGTGCAATATAAAAAAAATCTCCTGACTCTCATAAATCATTTTCATCTGACATAGGTTTCACTTAAGAATAAAAACAGCAAATGCTTTATCCTCAAAATATGGCATAGCAACTATAGATTATATACATGTTTTATACAATGTAAAATATGTTTTATTAGAATCCCTTGCTGTACGGCCCTGACAATTCCAGATACAGCATGGAAATAAGAGAGGACATCATTCCGTACAGAACCACACAGACAAACACACTATTTTCAGACCTTCCTTTGCTGTTTCTCCCATGCTGGGTCCAGGAGCAGGTCCCTGTCCCATTCTTCTTCTTGGGTCATGTACTCATCTTCTTCATAGTTATAGGTGTACTGCATGTTTGTTTCTATCTGGTTCATGCTGTTCATGCTACCGGGGGATCAGCTTCAGCTGCTGAGGCTTCTACTACAATTTGAGTTTACTTGCTGATGGGTTGTAGGTAGCAGTGTCTGTTTTCTTTTCTTTCCTTTTTTTTTTTTTTCCTTTTTCCAAGGTGACAGGGAGTGAATATGGACGAATCTTGCTGAGAGCAGAGGCTGAAACTGTCAGGTAGGTGCTGACGTGTGGTGACCTTGCTTCCCTCTCTCCCTTGCCCTCGTTCACTCTCTCTCCCTCTCTCTCCCTCTGTGGCTGCTGCTGTCGGTCCCTGCGGCTGACCCCTCGGAGAAGCCCAGGGCGGCTCATTGCTGCGGCTTATTATCCCCGCCGGGCTGTCACGTGGCGCTCCGGGCGGCGGCCCCGGTCCCAGCCCCGCTGCGGGCGGCGGGAGGCGGTGGGCGCTGATCCCGCACGGGGCAGCCTGGGATGGGCTGCGGGAGAGCAAGGATGGGCAGGGGGCTCGTCTCGCGCCAGCGCTGCGGGAGCTCGTCTGCCTGTCTGTCGTGCCTTACGATTTGACACAGACTTGCCTTTTTTTTTCCCTCCTACTGACATGCATTTCTACTTCTCAAGACCCGTCTATGATTTGCTAATGTAGTTTGGCATAGTTTATCATTAGTCTGAAGTCGGTATCTGTCCTTGAGCCACTTCACACTTTCGGATTAAGGATCACACGAGCCAGCACAGACAAGGACACTCAAGAGATGAAACAATTTCCATTGGAGATCAGGTCTGGAGTTAACCAGAAAGCATGGAAGCACAACTTTAAAAAGCAATGCATATATTTTTGTCTAGGAAACAGTCTCAGTAAATCCAAAAGCAGGCACCAAGAAGCACATACAAAGGCCCGTAGAACCAGTAACTTCACATATGTGTGACAGGAACCATTTACCCGTGCTTCCCACAGAGCAAAATCCAAAAGGATAGCACTGAGATCAAGCACCCTGGCAAGCTTGTCCCGTATCTCCTGTGCCATATCATTTCAGTTGTCCCAGTAACAGGGTTTCTTCTGGGAATTGGCAAGTTTACTATGTTCTTCATGTAGCTTGTCATTAATACCTGCACCTATCATCAGCCAAGGTCATCCTTGCTAGCAGTGGCCACACAGGATACAATTCCATCCTCACTTAGGAAAAGAAAATGCTCACCAAAGCTGAGCTTTTAAAAGCTGTAAATGACAAACTCATATACAAGGGGAAAATGTTTAGTAAAGACAACAGTAGGTGTCTAAGCCAATGTAGATGAATAACCACAATAATTTACAGCTTATGTCCTCCATTTCATATTGCTAACTGAAGCTCTGCTTTCTGCCAAGTCATCTTCTAGCCCATAAGAATATAGAAGAACAATGCAATACAGAAGAACATGCATACATGCACAGAAAATATCTACTCACTAGCTCAAAAAAACTTCATAAATACAGCACTAAGGTTGCAAATTGGAATTGCAGTACTAAGGTTGCAAATCGGAATTCAGAAAAGGATTGAAACACTTCATGCAATAAAAGCAAGCTGAACTTCTGAAGACTGATGCACATACTGAAAGACAAACAGTCCAAAAACGAAATTCCAAATCTAAGCAGCAAAGTCAGAACCACATGCTTTTTGCCTGCTCAGTGCAAACACTCTCAAAGTTGCTACACCTCCATCTATATAATGAACTAATGTTGCTGAATGCTGCCTAGACTTTTTTGTTCAAGTGCAGATGAGCATTCTCTTAGGATACTCTCAGACAATATCAAATTGCAATTACAAAACAAATTAGTTCACATAGATACACATTAAGTGTATGCTGGTGTAATTTGTGTGGTTTATTTTTATAGCTCGGTAGTCACCTGTGGTTTGAAATAGTCCAATTGCAATCACCTAAATGATAATTTAAGCCTTTGAAGTCAGTAAAACCATTTCTTCTTTTTCAGCATACAAAGCACAGAAGAATTTCTAAAGGAAATGCAGAAGTCAGAGAAGCCCTAGAAGTATAGACATAAATCTGTAATGCTCTGACTCAGAGCTGTCCCCCATGCAAAGAGCTCTCCTGCACTAATGAAACCTGTGACCTTTCATGCACTCCCTCATTAGAGGTGAGGCACTGCAACCAGCTTTGTGCCTTTCCTCAGCACTGCCTTGTCTGGGGATCTATGTGGATGAAGTCACACGGTACCGCACCCTTCCCCATCGTGCAGTGCAGGTGAGCCTTACAAGTACTGACGGCTTCATGCAGGAAGGTATTAGCTAAAACCCATGTTTTATATGTTGGACTTTACCCTCTAACACAGGCCAGGGGGCCTTTGTCATGAAATAAAAACTGAGGTGGGATGGTGACAAAGAATATCCAATCACACTGTGGATTAGGACTAGAGTCAGACCCATGTCTAGATTTCTAGGAATCAAAAGTAAGTCTAGTCAAATTTTCCAGAACTATAAAAGAAGTTTGCCAAGTTTTTTCATAAAATAACTGGATTTACTCAAAGCATACCTAGCCACTGCTGCAAAGGTACTGTTCATTTTTTCATGTTTACTTGGTACGTATGTAAACAGTACTTTGATAACAAAGAAAATGAAACAAAAATGTTTAATTGTTCCAAGCAAACTAGAACCAAATTATTCCAAGCTAGAACCATAGTCCCACTCAGCTAGTCTGAGAGATTTAAAAAAGTAAGTATTTCAAGATCCACTTTGGCTAGGTAATATTAGTCCATTTTGAATCAAAAAATATAGGGGACTTCAACTTTTTCAGTGTGCATTTTCAGAAAGTTGGGCTTTTTGTCTATAAAACAGAAAACTAAATGGAATAGCCTCATTAAAAAAAAAAACCAAACCAAAACCACCTGCCTATCTTGATGGAATCTGACATGTTTTAGGTTCTCTGAATAACTGCTTACTGCCTCTTAATCAGAGAGCATGAGTAGGCAGAAGAGATATTTATAGATGGAGCTTTAGGAGGAGTATCTGGTATTTTGTTTACTACTTTAATTTAATTTTATAAACTAACTGTGCAGATGGTAATGAGAAGCATATGAATGGAGGTCCGTAGTGGAAGAAGAGCCAAAATGGAACTCTGACGCCAAACTTGAAGTGGAAAGGGAGATGCCTCTTTCAGCTCAACAAGAGAAAAGCAAAGCTGTGCCTAGCACAGTAGTATGAATAAAGCAGTTTGCTTCAACCAGCTTATTTCCACATCAGAGGTAAGTTAGAACTATCTCCACTAAAGCTGGCAGAGTTGCACTGCTACAAACTATGTGTGCCTAAGAAGAAAGGAAATAAAATCAAAACAGAGATTAGCAACCTGAGCAGGAAAGAAAGAACATAAGTCAGAAACAGAGAAAAAGAAAGGAACACAATGAACTACATGGATAGGTAGTTTTAAGTTAACATGGCAAGATACCGGAGAGTCAGCAAGTACCGTTGAGGTAGAAATGACAGAGTTTGTTTACAATGTGGCAAGACAAAAAGAATACTCATGATTGCCAAATGAATTAGAAGAAATAAGGTTGCACAGGGAGACAAGAAATGGAGATAGCAGAGCTGAATTGTCAACTATTTTTATCTTTTATTTGGCAAAAGGTGTGCAGTTGTAGTTCATGCTAATATAAATGTTAGCAAGGGCCTAACCAGAAGAATGATGCCTGTGGCAACCAGATATCACTTCCCATGTATGAGGAGTACCAAACAGGCTTTCCTAACAGGAGCAGCAGGTCTGTGAGGTCACACAAATACCTCCCGGTGTGCTTTGCATTAAGCTACTTGAGAATCAAAGGGCTTTTCTAACTAAAGAAAGTCAATCTTTATCATTCGTTTTAATGAAATGGAAAGTGTTTCACACATTTTTTATTTAACATTCATTTACTTGTCAAAAGCCATCATACCATTCTCTCAAGAACTCAGTCTGCATTTTTTACTGTTCCTCAGACTTTCAATCCTTCAACACGCTTCTTGTTCTTCCCTCTCACAAAACCTTAGAATGAGAATAAACCCACAACTTGTTAATAAAACAAAAATGCTGACCATCACATTTCATCAGATCATTCCTCTATTTGAACTTAGTGAGATATAGACAAAGAAATAAGCCAGATTTCTCTACTTAAATAATTGCCCATGAAACAATCAACTGATGTAGAAATAATCACCATTAGTTTTCAGTTTTAACACTTCTGTATAGGAACGCAATAGTTCATATCTGCCAAAACTATCTCAGAAAGGCCACAGAAAGATAAAGAACCTCATGAGAGGTCAGTCAGTCATTGAGTCTTTAAGTAATCATAGTCTTTTTGTTTGTCTGTTTCTTTGTGAAAAAGAACAATAGAATGGTTTCTCAATAAAGAAGTCAATGAAAGGTAATAGAAAAGAAATTCAAACTAATTATTCTCTTGTGTAAACTGTTAACAGGATCTTAAAAAAGGGATCAAAAAGCCCTTTAACTTTCACAGCATGTCATAACTGTCACTTGTACATAAAATGTATTTCTGCTTGTAGCAAATATACACTAGTTTAAAGCTTAACCAACAAGAATATGAATTATTTAAATAAGATAATGATAATTTAAATTGGTTCAAAATGTTGGATTCTGTTAAAAATTATGCATATATTTCCTGAACAAAGCTAAGGAGAAAGGTGAGATGTCTTAAAAAATGTATTTATCATTTATCATTTATTGGATTTCAAGAGACATCGCCTTTTTTTTTTAATACAATAAATAGAACCCGCCTTCTTCAATTTAAGAAACACACTACATTGTAAGTTCATAAAAATAAAAAAGGCAATTAAATTCATTAGGTAAGGGCAGTATGAATAAACTTTAAACTTGCTTCATATTCCTGAAATGAACACATACAGAGAAAACAGAAGGAGAGCAGAGAAGAGAAGCATAGATCTAGGAACCAAATTTCTTTGTCTGAGCTAAGGAAAAGCACTATGGGCACTAGGCATATTAGCCCTCCCACATTTATGCACCAAGAGGCACAAACTTTGGCTCTGAAAATTCGTCACGCTACTCATACATGGTGATATTAACTATACAGTAGCTAATTACTTTTTTAAAAGTATAGTATTTCAAAGTACAGGTTTGGAAACAAAAATTAAGAAAGAGCTGGAAAAATGCAGTGCTAGCTTCATAGTAGCAACTGTCATTGTCAGGAGATCCCGAAGCGTTTCATCAGCTATATATAGACACGACTTACTCTGTCCCTGAAATTCAGCCATGGATGAAGTGTAGCAAGAAACATTTAAGGGAGAGACAAATACTATCAAAGCGTAGCTTGGGCTT